AACTCACGTGACTGGAATGGGTGACGGGTGTTGTTTGACCCGTAGAGGGAATGGTGTTCGAACCCATCGACAATGGATCTACCGTAGGTGGTTGGATCGGTCTGGGGCTCTTTCGATTTTTTCTGTGGGATAGAAATCGAAAAAGGGTATAAGTATCCATAAAGAAACATGTTATAAACAGAAAAATGATAAGACAAAAGAGATCAAAAAGTACCTTCGATTTTTCGAAGATGAAGTAGTGGTGGTGGCCGATTGTTTTCGTTTCCGAGTAAAGGCCGAGGGTCCGACTCGTCCGGGGACTCCCAGCTTGTTTCCTTCTCCTTCTCTTGCGCCTTTTCGAAGGCAACTCGCTTTGGTAGATTTTGCAACTATCGAGGAATGAAGATAGTTAATTTTCAAAACATAGAATCGAAAATTAAGGAAAAACAAGTAAAACCTCACCAAAAGGTGATGGAGTCAAGATTTTGACTCGATCAATATGCACTAGCCAAGGAGGCAATAGAGCTTCAGGGAGGTGAAGGTAAGGGAAGTAAAATAGTCTCGATACAGTGATATCTTTATTTTTTGGTTTGGGACGTAAGGTTTCTTTCGAGGTTCTCAGTTCTCGAACCCATTTAGGGTGTGTTAAAGGTTTGGCAACTCCAAAGGGAGCATTGGGAAAAGTAGGAAGGCGATTGGGACAATATACTTCAAAAGGGGTCTTCCCTAAGGGATTGATTATTTTACGATCGGTTCGATTAGCGGTGGTTTTGTGAGACAGGGAAATAACGAGCGTCATAAAAGGTCGATTCTAATCTCGATGGGTTGTAACATATTTGATAAAAATGTTCGAATCGAGTTATTTGGAGATAGTGGGAATGTTTACCTTTCTTCACCTTCGATTTGTCCCGCAACACAAGAGAAGGGTGAGCGATCGATCTCGTTGAACTTCATCGAAAGCAACGTGACTACTCGAGAACCAACTGGTCCACCATTGAGAAAAACCCATAGTAGACAAATAATTTGACTCGAAAGCATAGGGGTAAAAATGTATCGGGGTTTTTGGTAAAAGTTTGATAAGCTCCCGATTAAGTGAAGATTCAGCTTAACTTGGACTTGAGGGATGAATCGAGGGGAAAAAAGGTAGGGATTGGCTTAGACCAAACCGCCTCGAGAGAAACTGCGGGTAATAGGTAATAAACCCGAAATCCTTAGGCCGAAAACCCGATAATAATATATCATGGGTCAAATAACTACTCCATATGTCGATCGGCTCCAATTGCAACCCGGGAGACGAAGCAGGGAACTTTGATTTAAACCAAACTGGTCCCCTAAGTTGACCATTTATTTGTCCAAGATTTACAGTGAACGGGGCCAAGGTCGAATCAAAGGAAGATTTAGTCAACAAAAAGTGGAGGTATTTACAATAGGTAGTCTCATCAGTCTTATGGCGAGGATGGCGGGAGGATAATCGGGCCCCTTCTATATTTACACTTGGGGGAACGGTAGAAATCCGGGGAAGGATACTTTCGAATATCGAAATTAACCACAATTGAATAAACCAAACAGGGCCAGAAAAATTCCCCGATGCCTTAGGGGTACTCAAAATATCGACAGCTTCGTCGAAAGCAGTATATACATGTGCTAATAAAGTTTTGGCTAAACAAAGTCTAGGATGGCCTAGGTGAAGGAGATATGCAAGATTGAACAAATGGGGGGAAATTTGGATTGAACGGGGGCAAAAAACATGGGTGCATAACCAATACACCAAAAATGCTACGTGCTCTTCGTCAGTAACTGCTATCGAAGGGTCATCAACAAAGTGCTTCTCGAGAAAATGCCCATAGGCCTTCGACTCCCAATCTATTTTTGACCTCAATGAATTATCTGAAGGATATGTACCCGGAAAATACCTCTCCCCTATGGGTTTCAACCCAGTAATAGCAGCAACCTCGAAAAGGGTTGGCGACACAGGGCCACAAGGCAATTCCAAAACATGTAAGTCTTTATTCCATAAATGCACCGCAGATAAGAACATCGCCATGTCCAAATGAGACAAATCACATCGGGACAGGTGCAGAAAATCAAAAATACCAGTACTCCTCCAGTGATCCCCAAACTTAGCCTTAACCCTATCAAACCATCGAATATACAGAGGTTTTTTGGAAGGAGGGCCTGTCCGATATACCCTAGAAACAATACTCAAGAAATCGATTCTAATTTCAGGTTGGTGAACAAGAGCTGGGCTTTTTGAGAGGTTGAGGGGGGAAGTAGCTCTACTACCAAACAGTATAGGACCCCCAAAAGCAAAATTAACCCCTTCGACAGTGTAAGGGATGAGTACCTGCGTTTCGGCAATTTTTTGAGAAGCCTCTTCCATCAGAGGCAATGGAGCAAACTTCTGATTATTAATCTCCAGTAAAGTAGCAGCGGATGAAGTAAGAGGGGGAGCTGAGAAATCGGATGATTTGGATGAAGTGGCCATTGGAGAGAGCTTAGAAAAGTAGAAAGGAAGGAGTTGATAGATAAGATAACAGGAACGAAGGCAAGAGCTCAGGGAAGAAGACGAGGTTGCAAAAAAGATAATGGTTCGCGTAAAAACCAGAGTAGAGACTAAGGGAAAGGTTAAGGGGAAATCACCTAGGGAACTGAAGCGACGGAAAGGACAGGTAATTAATGTAGCTTATACTGAAAGGTAACAGACTGACGAGACAAAGACGTAAAGTAGAAAAGAAACCTAGAACCCCAGAAACCCTAAACCCTAAAGCTCTATGAGCCTCCGAATATTTAGGCGGGAATGTTGAAAGAATATAAACAGATTATTCATATTCTTCCAAGGGGGCATTTTGTTAGTGTGGAATCGAGAAGTATGCTAGAGAAACAAATATATAGGGAACTTTTTCGATGTCTAAATTATAAAAGGGATGATACATATAATCGAAAGGCAGAATCTGAAGAGTAGGAATAATAGTTCAAAAATTTAACATAGAGCAAACCAAGAAATTTGAAGTGCATAACGTTAAGGTTAAAATAAATCGATGTCAGGTATGCAAAGTGCTCAATAAAATCGAGATCAAAGGGAAGGCTCATTTACGTAGATATCGAAACCCTTACTAAACCTTGAAGGGAATTAGTCAAACGCACGCAGGGTAAGCAGTTTCTCAATCATGGAAGAGACGAGGATCGTGAGAACGTGGGAAAACTGTAAAAAAGGAACTGTCATGTGCACGTAAAACGTGGTATCGGTCTTGGTAACCGCTCCTGGAAGGCTTGAGCTACACCCTATAAATAGAAGAAAGAAGGAAGAAACAGGGGAGCAAAAATTGGCAGAGCACGTAATCGAGTAGTGAAAAGTCTACCGGAGAAACGACGAACACCATGAAGTTTCGGCAATCTGGATTTCCCTGCTCAAGGAGTACATTTATCGCTTTCTTTATTTCCCTTGGTAATTTATTTTCAAGCCATTCCAATTCAGCAATTTCATATTCTTATATATTTCATTCAATGTCATTTCGATTTCCGTATATTTCGACTTCTGTTATTTAATTTTGGGCAATCTTAATGGGTTTTAGCAATTTACATTTCTCGCGCATTTCGATTTCTTGTCCTTTATTTCTCTCGCAAACTTAATTTCTTGTCCTTTATTTTTCTTGCAAACTTAATTTCTTGTCACTTACATTTTCGCTGTTTCCGATTCTTGGTCTTTTAAAGTTAATGCATATTTGGGGTTTTCGCACTTTCTTGCAATTTAATATTCTCTTTCTCGATTCGATACTTTATCGCTTTGTTGGAGTCGAGCATTTTAAACATAAAATACCAAAAATAGGATTTCTTGATACTTATAGTTTTCGATTCTCATACACGTTTTCGATTGAAAATCAAATTGCTAGCCTAAAGTAAAAAGAACTTACGTGGTAGAAATTTGATCAGGACCAAAACACCCTTAGGATCGAAATCGATCGAAATTCCACCAGAAACACACTTATTATTGGACAGGAGGATTTTTTGTTGGGTTCCTTTTAATTTGTAAGTATATGAATGTTTGAAATAATGATTGGGTTGTTACCAGTAAATTATGCAACATAATGTCTGAAGTGTAAGAAGTTTGAACCCTGAGTTGGTCGAAGTTTCTACCTTTATGAAGAGGTAGAAACTTTTGTTCAAATTGATTTCAACAAATTACGCAGTACCAACACATGCCAACGGAAATACGCATTTGAGTCAGAAAAACTTCACAATGTATATTCTCTTTTGGATAATTTTTTAATAATTAGATTTTGTGCACAATATGAGTTACTGTGGGCAGTGCATTTCGGCTTTCGTTACAATGTGAAATCAACAATTCTAAAATGTTGGATAATGAATCTAAGCTCCTGCTTATTTTTAACTTGAAAAATCGAATATCACACTTTCTAATGATAAAACACAAATTTCAATATAAATGTGTCATTTAAATTAATTTCCGTACACGTCCACATTTAACAACTTAAAATTTTACCAAATTTTAAAACTGAAAGATACTAACAGAACCATACCATGGTTTACAATATATATATATGAAAAAATTAACCTTTTGTTTGTTCTTTCAACAGAAGATGACATTTGTGTCATTTAAAATAATTTTTGATTCCATGCACTAAACAACATAAGACTCCACAAACATTAGAGTTTGAAAGGAATAATCATTTCTGTTGAAAGTTTCATCTCGTCTATCTCATATTATTTGATATGATTTAAATACATGTTAGGTTACTCCACGTATTGTCAATTGATTTTATGTTGAAACCTTAACATGGTATTAGAGTCAAAGCCTAACATCTTTCTGGTTATTGTTATGGACCAAAAATTGTCCTTTAATTAGGTCAAAAGTACCTTTTGTCTGGTCCGACAGACTTTGTTAGAAAGAGCGTGTTGAAAGTCTCGTATAGTCTATCTCATGTCATTTGATATATATTTAAATACACCTTAGACTATTTCACATATTACTAATTGATTTTATGTTGGAACCTTATCAATTTCATTTATATGTCGTCCACATCAAAAGATTTACAAGGAAATCCTACATACTTTAGATGATCCATTAATTGATCCAGCATGGAGTATATAGTGGTTGAAGTACCATGTCTTTTGTCATCCACCATGAATTGATGGCAACAGCCACCGATTTCAATGCAGCTAATTGCTTTACATTTTTGTATCCCGCCGTCATCCATTATTTTTCTAATCTTTTTCATGTCATCCCATCTTTGAGACTCTGAATACATGTTTGAGAGAAGCACATAGAGCCCTGAATCATATCGTCCCAACTCCAGCAACTGCTTCATGATTTGCTTTGCAATCTCCAGATTCCCATAGGTCCTGCAAGCACCAAGCAAAGCACCCCAAACGACAACATCTGGTTTAACAGGCATCTTTGGTATCAGGGTCATTGCTTCTTCAATGAATCCCCCACGTCCTAAAAGATCAACCATGCATGCATAATGAGCAAGATTAGGAGAAATCCCGAACGTAGAACTCATTATGTCGAAGTAATATCGCCCCATGTCCACAAGACCGCTGTGACTACAAGCAGAAAGTAACCCTGTGAAGGTAATCTCATCAGGACAGAGCCCACCAGCTTGCATCCTCCTGAACATCTCAATTGCCTCTTCCCCTAAACCATGCAGAGCAAGTGCCCCAATAATAACGTTCCATGACACCACATTCTTCTCAGGCATCCCAAAGAAGATGTCCATAGCAGTCTGAAGAGCACCACATTTTGCATACATGTCTATTAGGGAGTTAAAAAGAGTCACACTCACTGTAATATTATTATCACAAATGTAATTATGGGCTTGTCTTCCCAATGCCAGATCACCCATGTGACTGCAGCATGAAAGAATGTTAACAAGTGTACCATCGTCAGGCATCACACCCGAAGTACACATCCTGTAGAAAAGTTCCATAGCTTCCATGTACAGCCCTTCTTGAACATGGCACCAAATTATTGAATTCCAAGAAACCACATTCTTCACTGGCATCTGATTAAAAATTTGCACAGAAGTATCAATAAGCCCATGATTAGCGTAAGCATTAACCATACATGTCCAAGAAACAACATTTTTATCAAGCATTCGATCAAAAACACGTTTAGCACATTGCAAATGCCCGCACTTGGCATACATATCTATGAGGGCATTGGTCACAATTGAATCAATTTCAACACCAGCAATAATGATATAAAGATGCACAGATCTTCCCAAATCCAAATTACCATTCTTTGACGAAACAGCAAGCAAGCTAACAAACGTGAACACGTCAGGCTCCACTTCCAACCGTCGCATTTCTTCAAACAACAAAACAGCATCACGACAATGGCCAATTTTAGAATACCCAGCAATCATAGAATTCCACGAAACCAAAGTCCTCTCAGAAATATCATCAAACACTTGCCGTGCACTTGGTATCAGACGGCAAGCAACGTAGACAGTCAAAATTGAGTTTTGCACACAGGCATGGTATCCCATTCCCAGCTTAATGGCCTGGGCATGAATGATAACAGCTTCCCAGTACAAGGGTTTGGCAGCACAAGCCTTGAAAACAAAGGGGAATGTGAATTGGTTTGGCATAAGGCCCGCCCTCACCATTTGGCGGTAGAGCAACAAAGAGTTTATTGGGTCTTCAATATTCGAATAGCCCTTTATTAAATGATTGTGCATGAATTTATTGGGTTGGGGAATTTGATCGAACAGAAAGTGTGCGTAACGGAGATCTCCCTCTTGAACGCAAAGAGAGACTAGCTTGCCTAAGGTGACAACTTGGGCAGCAAGTCCATGGAGAATGATCTGGGCATGTACAAGCTTGAGTTGTCTCAAGGAGAAACATTGATCCAAGAGATGGTGAAGGGTTTGGTGAGTGGGTGACTTCAACTTGTGCCATATCTGTGTTTGTGTTTGTACAGAGCCAACGCCAAAAAGGCGGGAACAAACAGACGCGGGTTTCAGTTTCAGAGTGGAGGACATCAAACAAAAGTATCAAACCAAGCACTACTGAGGTACCACTCTCATGACCTTATAGTGACAATATGTATTTCAATTACACTTCAAATAATTCAGATTGCGTTTAACTGCAAATTATACGAAAGAAAAAACGATGACGACATTAATGATGGTTTGGGTGTCTGTCTATTTCTTGTCGCATGATTGTCGTTCAAAGTTGAATAATGCATCTAAGTTATTAATTTTTTGCATAAAAATCTTATACTTTCTCTATTATTTCATTCAAGTTCTATGTAGCTATCATGCAGACAAGAAGATTCAATATTAATTTTGGGCAAGCCAATATTATCAATACCATATATTTATTTGAGAGTTAATAAATAGTAAAAACCCAAATTTGATCCTCCCTTCCCCTTCATAAAAATAAACAAATCTGGCGGTTTAGTACTTCAAGGGAGTAGTAAATCTCCATGGACAAAATTTTAAGCCGTCTTTGTGTGTGGAATAGGTTATAGTTTGAATAAGCTTTTGTACTCAAATTCTTATAATCATTTTTCAGATCACTCAAAATACGAAACTCACACCAGCAAAGTGCTCCATTTAGATCTACTAGATATAGTTAGACTCTAGGATGACAAATTCAAAATAGATCAAAATCAAACGTCCATCTTTTCCAAGAATATATTGTGAATATGTAATCCCAATCTAGTAAGATTTTTAGTTTCACATCTATAACATTCTCAAAAGTCATGCTTCAGTATAGTGTCTTGATCATCTCCAGTCTCATCCGTTATCAACTTAGCATTATGTGTCAAAACTGGCAAGGAATTCATATTTCCGTTCAATGTCTTGGTTTAAGATTGTGAAAATCGTCCACATGAAATATGAGGTCGTATTTTATATTAATCAGAAAAGGAAAGCAGGAAGGAAGCACTTGAGAGCCAAGAAATAAAACTAACCTTGAATTGAAAGAGCAACTATTTCTATTACATTGGAGAGTGCTTACTATAATCACGTAAGTCATCAAAATTATATTCACAGGGAACAAAAAATATATACGCCTAAGAGCAAATGACTTAGTCATTTGCACCCTTTTCATTCATCTATATATCAACGGCAAGCTAGATATATTACAGGGAAGAGAAAAGCCAAAAATTGAAAAGAAAAGAAACAGATGAAAGAAACCAAGACAAGAATGCCATAGCAGCAGATAATTGATATCTATCACATAACTTTGGTGGGCAATTTGATTCACCAGCTTCAAGCAGAAGATCTACGATACTGGAGGTGGAACATGCTGCAGCTAGTGATAGATATGACATAATCTGAGTATAGAAAAAAATAAAAATAAAAATAAAATCCTCAGCGCAGTATAGGAACAGTTAGGTCTCCCTTCAAGTCTTAGAAATATAAGCGGCACGTACCATATCACCAAAAAAGATTATCACTATGAGCCTTCGTTGAATCGGTAAAGACTGTATGAAGACAGAGTAAGCATCTACCACCAACAATGTTATGCTCCATAGAATTACCAAACCCATGACTGTTACAAAATAGCTGTGGAATAGCATGTATAAAGACAAAGGTTAAAAATCCCCAGGTTCGGTAACAACCTGGGCGGAATAAACTGAGACATGCCAATATTACTTCTGAAACTATACTGGCATGCACATTTTCCTGAATATTTTTCCTTATGTATTGATTTAGGAAATTGCTACGTGGACAAACATGCTCTTCTATGACAGCTAAATGACAGAATAAGATTTTAGTGGTACAGATAATATTGAAATTTTGAAATCTCTCTCTCCTCTTATGCCACAACATCAGCAGCTCCACTCTGATTCTGAAGTGGGAAATGTAAAAGATTTTGGCAGGTCCAACTTTGTATTAACCTCAACTAAAAAGGTTAAATATAAGCTAAATAAAATTAGAACCAATTCGTTCTATCTTGTTTCCTAAATCCTCCTATTTTCCAAAATAACCATCTACTACAAATTTAATAATACGCTACTTCAATAGTTCAATGTAATTTCTCCTAACCATTCACCAATTATTGACATATGTAGATTATCTTTGACCAAATATCAGAAACGTAATAATTACATGATGTTTCTAAGAAGCCTCCTCATGGTGGCACTAAATCAATTTCAAGACTCCTATCTGGACTTGGGAATATACTGCTGCTCATGTTCTCAAGAAAGCATATACAATGGATCTGAAACATGGCTACATTTTTTCACTTCTCCCAATTGTAATTTTCAGTAGCATAACAAGAGAAACACACCAGGGGACACGCGCATATCTGTGATCCTCACCCCCGAGCTCCACTTAAGTTTTTGGATACACTAGGAGGTACAAGTCCCTTGATAAGGAGAGAGACATAGGTGGTTTAATGGATAATCAAATCTTTAAGTTGGGCCACTTTTCCTTGATCTAATACCAATATGTTGTGCATGACTGGTAGATAACTATGTTCCATAAGTTTGTGGTTAGAATTTTTATCTCAGTTAGTTTATATGCTCCGATGGAAGAGGGTCTTCCGAGTGAAATCAGCCCTTTAAAGGAATCTCCATATCTTAGAAGATTAATCTTTGATTTATGGCCTGAGGGCACCTAAAAGAAAGTACCACTTTCTCTGACGCCCACATTAGTATTACACAGGAATTCCTGATGATTATTCGAGGCATCAGTTAATAATATGTTTTGAAAACAACACATCAATATGTAAACTTTATATCCCTTACCACTCATTGAAAGATGGGAACGATCATTGGCTTTAGCATGTAGTACAAAATCTAGGGGGAGGGTAAGTGTTAATAGAAATTAGAAGAAGCGAGAAATGGGCAGAAGATATAGAATAGAAGTGAAGTACCAGAAAGCCGTGTAAGAGTAGAATCCGAGTTCCAAGCACATGAAGAAGAGGGAAGAAGAAGAGAAAACGGTCTGACCCAAACGAAGTGCCAAGCTGGCACTGCTGCCAAAAGCTCCTGCCAATTCCTCCATCACTCACCAAACATGCCCAGATTTCCTCATAATATCAAAAGCAATTAGAGAATATAAATTGGGTAATAAAACCAAGGTGGAAATAAATAAATGAAAGCGAGCACATGTAGAGAAAATAATGGGAAAGCTCAGAATATGAATGTGAAAAGAATATAAATATGGAAAGATATAAAGAAGGAAAAGTGTGACAGAGAAATAGTAAAGAAAATGAAGTGTTATGTTCAGATACACAAAGCACAGAGACTGGTATGGAGATGATAAGTACAGGGATGAGTGTCGAGCATGTAGAACGTGTTCCGTCGGCGCCAACACGGACTGTATCCGAATACCCTGGTCCTAATCATTCATTCTATTACCGCCAATTATTTGTTCTAAAAATGAACGTATAACTGGTATATTATACAAATCCTCCAAAATATAACAATAATTCTAGTATATTATACAAATCCTTCAAAATATAACAATAATTCTATATATTTTTAACATAACTCAAACTATAAAGAAACTCTTTAAAAAAAAAAAAAAAAAGAATAGGAAGAAAAATAAAGAAGAAAAGATGAGTAAGATATCTTTTGAGAAAGGTAAAGTAATTTATTTATAGATATAGTATGATCAATAAACCCATTTCGTATTCAACATCATCAGTGGTTGTGAACTAGAAATATGGGATAGTGAAACACTTTTTAGGTTAGAGAAACACATTTTAGGTTAGTGAAAAACATTTTAGATTAGTGAGATACGTTTTATGTTTTGCAATATCTCTGTTTTACAATAATCTCCGACATATTACACAACAAAAAATATATAAAAGAATAAAAGAAGAAAATTAAGGGTCTTATATAAGATGTAATGCATCAAAGCTAGTATAACAAGCTATATGAACCAGTCATATACTCAAAAACTTAATACATAGTATACTTGGTACAATAACTTATATGAACAAAAACACTTAGTGTTTGTTAGCGGTTTAACAATCATAATGCACCCCCATAATTATTGATATTATCGTTGTGTTGCCTTACTAGGTCATGCACGTACCTGGTATTCATAAGTGTTCTAAAAATCTTGCAAAATATCTCATACAAGTGGCCCCACTCGACACTCATATAGGTGATTTCATCAAGTTATGTTGTAAATCATACATCACCCATAAGGGATATAAAATAATTAAAAACTTGGTTTAGACTAAAATTCGTACACCACATAAATTTTTAATTGCAAAGTTTAAACTCGCAATGATACGGTATCTAACATGTTCACACACCATAGGAATGACATAATTGATTTTAATCCATTTTTTGTGCTAGCATAACTACCAAGTGAGTTGTTTTTACCCATATAAACCTTATTCATGGGAGCTCCAATTACAAAGGTTAGGTTAATATTATTTGTTTGTTTGCAAATGGTTTAAGTCTCATTCTCCTCGATTTTCTAAAATCATGTTTCTTGCTAAGGATTTTGTCAGAGGATCTGCTAGATTCTATTCTGATTTCACATAATCAATGAAAATTGTTTCACTCTTTAACAACTGTTTCACCAAATTATGTCTCAATTGTATGTGTCTATTTTTTTCATTGTAATTCTTATTTTTAGCTATAGCTATTGTCAATTTGCGATTACAGTGTATTAACACATACGAGGTAAGTTCCATTCCTAATGGAATATTTGTTAAGAAGTTTTTCAACCACTCAACTTCACTACCAACCATTTTGAGAGCAACAAACTCAGATTCCATTGTTGATCTTGTAATAATTGTTTCTGGCTTATCTCCATGTAATCGCACCATCTCTGAGTGTGAATACATGACTATTAGTGAATTTTATATCTCATCTGAATTAAAGATCCAGTTAGCATCATTGTAATCTTCTAGTACAATGGAAAATCCACTGTATTTAATGGTATAATTCATTGAACCTTTTAAATATCTCATAAATCTTGCAAGTGTATCCCAATATTCCTTATTAAGACATTGAGTGTACCTACTCAGTCTACTATAAACAATGATAGGTATAGAAAAACTCATTAAATATAACAAGCTCAATTATCTGGACATAATAAGGTTGAGAAATATAATCTTTTCTATTTTTCTTTAATTTAGAGTTGACATCATAAGGGGTACTCACTAGTTTGAAGTCATAATACCCAAACTTCCTAAGAAGTTTCTCAATGTATTGTTTTTGGGATAATAAGATATTATCTCCCTTCCTTATGATTTTAACTCCAAAAATCACATTGGTTTCACCCATATCTTTCATTTCAAATTTAGATCCCAGAAACAACTTGGTTCTAGAGACTATGTCAATGCAAATAGTACCATGTCATCTACATATAAACATATAATGACACATTGACCACTTTCAAATTAGATTACACACATTTATCAATATCATTAGTTGAAAAATCATCACAAAGTACAATACTATCAAGTTTTTCATGCCACTGTTTTGATGTCTGTTTTAATCCATGTAAAGATTTTAAAAGTTTGCACACTTTGTTCTCTTGACTGAGAATAACACATCCTTCAGGTTAAGTCATATAAATTTCATTCTCTAATTCATCATTCAAAAATTGTCTTAACATCTATTTGGTATATAACCAACTTATGGATAGTTGTTAGAAAACTCGAATAGAAGAAATCCTAGTCACAAAGCAAAAACATCAAAATCATCAATGTTGGATTTTGAGTAAAAATCATTTGCTATTAATCTTGTCTTCTACTTGTCTATCTATTTATGTCTTTTACTGAGAGAAGGAAATTAAACAAATAAATAATCAAAAGCAAAATTCAAGAATGCATAGATAACTTTATCTCACACTATAACACTCAAATTCAATTGCAAACATGCATCGCAGTTTTGGGATATTTTGAACATGAGAATTCAATGGATTTTTTTTTTATCAACCATACTTTATATTCGTGTATCTATACATAATAACCATCGCTTTAATCTATCATCACGACTTCTAGTATAGAGATAATCAGACCCATCATATGTTGCGAGGATGAGTTGAATTGTTTCCATTGCTTGTACTACTCATGTGGTGCATTGCACGAACGTTATGAGAGAGGAATTGAGAGCACCTTGAGGGCTTACATGTAGAGTTGTTGTTGGTATTCATATTGTCAGTGATAAGTCTTTAAGATTGTTGTAAAAACTAACAAAGACATGGACAAAACTTGATTCCTGAGATGTGTATAATCATTGTCCTTAAAGACTTATCCGAATTTTTTAAGTAACTCAGAAACTAACAAGAAACTCTTAAAAGAGTAAATAAACTCAGGATAAGAATAGAACAAGAAGAAAAATAGAGAAGAAGAAGATGAGGGAGGTATCTTTAGGAAAGTGTGAAATGATCTATTTAAACGTGTTGTATAAGCAACAAATCTATTTTCGCATTTAACATCATGAGTGATTGTGGACTGAAAACATGAGATAATGAAACACTTCTATATTACTGAAACATGCTCTAAGTTAGTGGGACACGTTTTATATTTTGCAATATCTCTATTTTACAACAATTCCTATCATTTTCTTTCATAACAAAGATAAAACTTTCGATAAGGTAACTTTCTTTATATAATTTTTGTAAGTAATTTTTACAGTAAACTCATTCATATATATTACGAATCAATCGTTCATAAGTATATTATATATATATATATATATATATATATATATATATATATATATATAATTTAAAATAAATTAATCAAGTATGAGAAGTAGTTTATCATTTATAACATCTTCAACATTATAATAATACATGATAAATTAATATACTTTAAACATATTTAAATTACATTACTTAGTTTCACATCACAACATACATCTCATATCACATCATATTAATAAAATTTATTGTCTTGACATAATTATTACGTTATATCAAATGTTAATTAAATTTTATAACTTCATGTTTAATCTTTTCAGCCACATATTATATATATATATATATATATATATATATATATATATATATATATATATATATATAATATTTGATAATTTCTAAAAAAATATGTTTTAATAAATTTTGAATTTGTAATTATGATACATCTTTTATTGTGAATGTTCTTCATATTATCACAAAATACTAATAAATAAATATGGTAGATTCTCTTATAAAAAGATAAATTTTTATTAAATTGATAAAAATAATATATTTTAAAAAGTCTCTTATCATATTGAATAAACAATAGAATTGATGATAGTAATTATATAATGAACTTAAAGTTTATGATATTTTGAAACTCCAATAAAAAATATTTTAAGAATGTATTTGATTTTTCTTATATTCTTATAATAGAGTGTTGTGATATTTGATTTAAATTTTTGCTTTGGATAATACAAGTGTATTTGGGATTAAAGGACTTGGAAGAATAATCTATATGATGTAAAAAAATTTAAATAGTATTATTTTCTAGTTATCATATAGTGTTATTTTCTAGTTATAGATAGATAATAATCATGATTTTTTTCTAGTTTTAGAGTTTTTGTTTGTGTTGTAAAAATTTATATATAATATTATTTTCTGATTATTATTATAAAACTATTGTGATTTTTCTCTAATTTTTCTTTGATTTTAAAATTTTTATTGTATTGATTGTTTTTATTTTATTTCTCTATTAATAAAATAATTATAAGGAGTGACATTTTTTATAAAGTTTTTTTTATCAATTATTAACATACTTAATAAGCTTATATTCAAACTAATTTTCAATTCAAAACTATATCACCCTTTAAACTTATTTTTCACAATCACTAATATCAAAACATAACTACTCAATTTCAATTTCAATGCTATATTTCACTCAACTCAATTCAATTAATCATTAAATTCACATATTTGAAGCTAACAATTCTAACACACCGTGCATGATCACTTTTAGCAATAATATGTTTTTGCCTTCTTAATAAACTTTAATGATTCTTCGTTCTTTGGTTTGGAGGCAACTCCTTATGATGGTTCCTTTACCTAATATTACCAATGTTTTTTCT